GGACAAGCGATTACTTGAGAATCGTTTAAAGGAAAGTTCCTTCAAAAGTATTTCCCTGCTGACTTGAAGAGGAAAAAGGAATTGGAATTCTTGCGGCTAGAGCAAGGAAGCATGACCGTAGGGGAATATGCTGCCAAGTTTGAGGAATTGGCAAAGTATTGCCCTTACTATGAGTTACATGCTGGTGGGAGGTCAAAGTGTGCCAAGTTTGAAATTGGTTTGAAACCAGAGTTGAAAATGATGTTCAATCACCAAGAGATTACTAATTTTCCTACTCTGGTAAACAAGTGTAAGATGTTTGAGGATGATATGAAAGCCAGTAATGATGTTGTTGTGAACACCCAATTTTGTCCGGCCCAAAAGACATTTTCAATAAATAAAGATAAAAAAGTATTTTTGAGTATTTTCTACAAAAAATAACATTTTTTATGTGCCCAAAATAGAAATGATTTGAATTTGAATTTTTAATTTATGATTTTCATTAAATTCGAATTTTAAACATTAAATATCATAATAATACAGATTAAAATTTTGAATTTGATTTAAAAGCAAAAAATCAGAATCTCCTTAATTTTCTCTTGGAAGTTAATAAAATATTTGATTTGATTTTCAAACATGTGTCAAAATTTAGCTTTAAATAGGCATATGACACATGAGATGATGGATTCACAACTCCAAAAATTCACTCATCATCTATTCTAAAAATCCTCAAAAATCCTCTAAATCAAATTTTGGATTATAAGTTTATAACACATTTGATTTTCCCCCTTATTATCCTCTAAAGAATTAATTAGGAGATTATATTTGATTTAGACATGTGCTAAAATATCTAACCTATAAATAGAATGATTCACTCACCTAAATAAAAGATTCAGGTTTCCCTTTATTTCCTCCCTCGAATTAATTAGGAGATTGCATTGGATTTAATCATGTGTTAAAATATCTAGCCTATAAATAGAATGCTTCATCACCAAAAAAGGGTAGAATCTTCTTTTCATTTTCAACTCAATCCCTCCCTCTAAAAAAACCATCTCAATTTATCAACATCACAACATCTCCTGTGATTCAAACAAGACAGTCATCTTCTTCCTCCTAATACCATACACAAAAATATATTAGAAAACAACTCAAAAAATTCATCCATCATCTATTCCCAAAAATCCTCAACAATCCTCTAAACCAAAATTCATTCATCAATCATTTTCTTCTCTAGACATTACCTTCCACACACAAACATCTAAAAAGTATAACCTTCCACACAATCATCCAAAAAGTATAATTTTCCACATTACACAACAATCCTCTCAATCAATATTCATTCATCAATCATTTTCTTTGGTGTTGCCATAACACTTAGATCCACTGAATATAATCATTCGAAGCCAGATATGTTTTCTTTTACTCTTGTTATGTAAATTATTATCCATAATGAGTGATAAATGAATGATGCATCGTCACACTTTTCTTTTCATTTTAATTTAACAATGGATTAATTTAACATTTTTTAGATATTAAGTATAAAGAGACATGTGTTTGTAGAAAAATAAAGTAACAACTATTCTAATTTTTAAGGCATGATGTGGTGACGGACATTTGGACTGCACTTCATTTTCTTAAAATTTAGGAATAATTGCTACCATATTCAGTTATTAAATCTAAAAATATTTTTTATAAGAAATGAAAAGGTAAATTAACATTTTTGTTAATAAATTTAAATATATTTTAAAATGAATATTTTAACTAATATTTAAATATGAGATACGATATCGGACACAAGGGTTGTACTTCACTCATTTTAATATAAAATTAGTTAAGATTAAACATCACATTTTCTAAAAATAATAATAATAAAATCAACCCAACCAACAAACTTTTTCTACCTAAAGAACTACGTAGTCTTGATTCCTTATCTTTATAGGGATACGTAGGAGCAAGATCATATCTTGTCAGACACAACAAAAATAAAAATAAAATTTTGTTCTTTTTAATAATTAATTAAATAACCAAATAACTTTAGAGTATAAATTAAGCCATGCAATTTAGTGAGTGTACCATTTAAAATGGGCGGATAGGGTGCTAATACCTTCCCTACTCCGTAACCGACTCCCGAACCTGGATATCAAAGTCCAATGCCTAATGTAATCGGGCCAACAGATTTTTCTACATTTTTACTATAAAATGTAGTGGCGACTCTAACAAAGTCTTGCGGCCGAAAATCGGGGCGCGACAGCTGGCGTTATGAGGGCTATCTAACATAAGTTGTTGTTTCAAAACCATTATGTGTCACTTTGACCCAAAATAATCAAAACGAAAAACAAACCATGTATTCGTCATGACCGATATATGAAATAAAATGTTTCTTGGTATAATTTGTGTTTGTGCTCCTTTGAGAAATTCATATTTCAATCGAATAAAATGAGACGAATGTTTCGTCACAAATAAATAAATAAAAATGTGTGACTATACTCCGGGTCAAAAGGGTACGTCATCAAAGCAATCATTCCCAATGACAACAAGCCCAAGAAAGCCAAATCCTCTCAGTCAGTCAGGTGTTGAGGATGCGAATGGGCAATGATGATAAAAACAAAACGTCTTTACAAATAAGTTTTTAAAAAAAAATTGTAATATTGCATACATGAGCATTCAGACAACGACAAAGGTAAAGCGAAGTTGTTACACTAAACATCAAAAACATCATTACACATACTCATTTAATCAATACATAACCACACAAACATTAACATGCACTTCATGTACTGCATAACCCTCTTACCTCGTTTCACCATCACAAAGGGTTTTTGTGCCTTGTCAAAATCAGCACTCATTTCTTTACTAGTTGTTTATCACGACAACACCCAAACATTGGTTTGTATGTTGTAACACAAGAAATTAGTAAAGAGGGGTAGAATGTGAGTACTCAATTTTGTCAAGCACAAAATGCCCACCAAGAATAGTTAATAAAAAGTAAGTGAACTTTGCAAATTCAAATTGCAATGCTTCGAAACAACGTTTTAATATAAGCGATTTGTGTTATAATTTCAAATCATGCCTTATTACAACTTTTTGCGAGTAAGGACATCATTCGATGATACAATGCGAAATAATATAAAATCTATAATTTTGAGGACCCCCGTGCTTGATGACCTCAAAATTATAGGATTGAGGACGCCCGTGCTTGACGGCCTCAATCTTTGACTTTGAGGGCCCGGTGCTTGACGACCTCAAAGTCATTATTTTCAGGCCTAATGCCTAACTATTTTATAAAATCTATAATTTTGAGGACCCCCGTGCTTGACAACCTCAAAATTATAGGATTGAGGACCCCCGTGCATGACAACCTCAATCTATGCCTTCGAGGGCCCCGTGCTTGACGACCTCGAAGTCATTATTTTCCAGGCATAGTGCCAACTATTTTATAAAATCTATAATTTTGAGGACCCCCATGCTTGACGACCTCAAAATTATAAGATTAAGGACCCCCGTGTTTGACGACCTCAATCTATGCCTTCGAGGACCCCGTGCTTGACGACCTCGAAGTCATTATTTTCAGGCCTAGTGCCTAACTATTTTATAAAATCTATAATTTTGAGGACCCCCGTGCTTGACGACCTCAAAATCATAAGATTGAGGACCCCGTGCTTGACGTCCTCAATCTATGCCTTCGAGGACCCCGTGCTTGACGACCTCGAAGTTATTATTTTCAGGCCTAGTGCCTAACTATTTTATAAAATGTATAATTTTGAGGACCCCCGTGCTTGACGACATCAAAATTATAGGATTGAGGACCCCCGTGCTTGACAACCTCAATCTATGCCTTCGAGGACCCTGTGCTTAACGACCTCGAAGTCATTATTTTCAGGCCTATTGCCTAACTATTTTATAAAATCTATAATTTTAAGGACCCCCGTGCTTGACGACCTCAAAATTATAGGATTGTCTTGACGACCTCGAAGTCATTATTTCCAGGCCTAGTGCCTAACTATTTTATAAAATCTATAATTTTGAGGACCCTCGTGCTTGACGACCTCAAAATTATAAAATTGAGGACCCCGTGCTTGACGACCTCGATCTATGCCTTCGAGGACCCCGTGCTTGACGACCTCGAAGTCATTATTTTCAGGCCTAGTGCCTAACTATTTTATAAAATCTATAATTTTGAGGACCCCCGTGCTTGACGACCTCAATCTATGCCTTCGAGGACTCCGTGCTTGACGACCTCGAAGTCATTTATTTTCAGGCCCAACGCCTCAATATTTTATAAAATCTATAATTTTGAGGACCCCCGTGCTTGACGACCTCAAAATTATAAGATTAAGGACCCTGTGCTTGACGACCTCGAAGTCATTCTTTTCAGCCTTTGCGCCACGCATTTTTTAGAAAAAAAAGAAAAAAATTTGGAGGCTCCTATCTACTCCCTTACTTCATCGTCGCAATGGTTTCTTTGATACCTCGTCAAAATTAGTACTCATTTCTTTACTAGTTGTTTATTGTGATAACGCACAAACCTCGATGGGTATGTTATCACATAAACAACAAGTAAAGAGGGGCATCTGTGAGTACCTAATTTTGTCCGGCCCAAAATATCTTCCCAAAAGTATAAAATAAATAAATAAAAACATAATATCAAAATGATTTGAAACTTAGTGGATTTAGTGTCCCAATTACACAAATTCAAAATTAGCTTTGTTACCTCTTTAGTTCTATTCTAGAATTAAAGACACCAATTAATAGTGAATATTTGGCAATAAAAAACATCATGCATATCAGACTATTGGCTATTCAATCAATAATTGATACTACACCAAGTTAATAGAGAACAATGCAATAACATCACTGCAAATCAATGCAATAATTCACATACAAAACATTTTGCTTCATATGAGGAAGGATTTGCCATGAACATGCTTATTTCGGCCTAAGAAAGGGCCAGATTCGGTCCCTAAATGAAAACTAGAAATGTTGGAATTTCTCCATTTTATTTCAGCCAACATATTAATAGGAGGATCCTCTCATTATGGTGCATAAGTCCCTCACCTTTTAGTCATGATTGCATTCCTCATCCAATCCCTAAGATGGAAGGAAAATCAAGTGAAAATTAAAATTAGAGAGATTTACGCACATGAAGAGATACACATTTAGTAATAATCAAAATTAGGAAATAAAATTAGCCAGCCATAAAATGCAGACTCAAATCATGCTAATTTCAATAATTAGTAGCAAATGAATGATAAATACCCATGATGAGCAGTAGTTAACATAGCATAAAGGGACAAACTCAATAAGGCAATTAGAGTGTAAAAATAGAAATGAAATCATGGCATAAAGAGACATTAAATTGTGGATGGACAATTAAAAAATTACCAATGTGGAGAGGATTCCAAGCAGTATAAATAGAGGTGGAAACCAGAATAAAAAAGACAAGAAGAAAGCTAATTCAAAGATCAGTGACATATTGGAAACACCTTAGCATATTAGAGAACACTGAACACAAAGCAACCAACCAGAAGAGATAACAAGGATATATCCCACATCTGTTCTTGTCTCATATTCCCCTCAAGACTAACCGTACCCTCGCATAACTTTTTTCTTTCCTTCTTCTTCATTAACACATCACACAAAAATCCCCTATTCCCTTCAAGATTCATAGTGTTCTAGCATAAACTTTTTTCCATCAACACCCGCCACACAAAACCAAGTGAAGTAGACTGGGGATATTAATAACCAGGAGGACTAAGGAAGGAGATTGGCAAGGGACCAACAAAAGGACAAGGTAACGATAAAGAATCACATAATTCCCACCAGGTAACAACACCCTTCTTTACCTAGATACCAATTTTTGTGTCCTAAATGATCATATTATGCATCCCGTTTAAAAGCTTTATGGTAGTACATGTGTATAATCGTTTAAAAGGAAAAGATGCATCATTACAACCCTAAAACATTTTTAATTACGGTTATTCCTGAATGAATATGAACTCATATTTTATGCATGTCAATCTCTGATTCATATAAAAAACCAATTTAAATAGGTAAAATAAAAGAAGGGATAAAACGTTCCTTACCAGATCCCTTTGAGGCAATGGACTCCTGGTCATGAAAATAATCTCTGCCCTAGTCAAACCAGGAACATCAAAATAAGTAAAAATAAGAGAGAATAATGTTAGGGTTAGTGAGTTTAAGAGAAATTAGAAGGGATTGAGGTCCCTTTACCCCCTTTTAGAACCACCACCGCTAATCACCACTGAAATTGTGGCTTCGCTGGATTGATGTGAAAGTGTGACTTTGCTAGATTGATTTGATACCGTTGGGATGAAAGAGTAAAGAGGAAGAAGGATGGAGTATGAAAAGGAATTGGGGATTTTCCCCTCTCTGTTGCAAACGTGAGTGAATAGGGGTAACTTTAGTTACCCTTCAAAATAAGTTTACCTTTTTGTTTTTACCGTAATACCCTTTTATCTCTATTGCTTTATTTAATAATATTTCTTTCTTTTGATAATTTGTTCACTGCCAATCTATGTATTATTCCTTTTTTATTCCCTTTCATCCCAAATCCCACGTGTGGTATAGTTTGTGGTGAAAAAGTCAATTAATTTGTATACCCTAGACTCCCTAGTTATAAAAATGGTTAAGGGCCTTCACTTAAGTTACATCAATATGTGTCCTTTTGCTAGTAAAATAAATATGATCTAATTTAAATGCTCACTATATTTCAATTATTTCAACAACAACGAAAAAAAAAACATTTTAAGGTATGATGCGGTGACGGATACTTGGGCTGCACTTCACTTCCTTAAGTTTAAAGATAGTTGCTACACTATTTACTTATTAAATCTAAAATATATTTTTTTTATATGAAATTAAAATGTAATATTTAACATTCTTTTTAATAAATTTAAATATATTTTAAATATAAAGATGATGAATATCTTAAATAATCTTAAAAATGAAATGCGATATCGGACATACGGGTTGTACTTCACTCATTTGAATATAAAATAAGTTAAGATTAAACATCACATTTTCTAAACAATAATAAAATTAACCTAACCAACAAACCTTTTTCTACCTAAAGAACTAAGTAGTCTTGATTCCCTATCTTTATAGGGATACGTAGGAGCAAGATTGCATCTTGTCAGACATAACAAAAAAATAAAAAAAAATATTCCATTATGATAAAATATTTTAACAAGTTCTTTTGGTATAAATAAAAAGTCTATATAATTAATAAGAGTACCATTTAAATGGGCGGATAGGGTGCTAATACCTTCCCTAAATCGTAACCGACTCCCGAACTCGGATATCAAAACCCAAAGCCCCAACGTAATTGGGCTAACAAATTTTCTATATTTTTTGACCATAAAATGTAGTGGCGACTCTAAAATAGTCGTGCGGCCGAAAATCGGGACGCGACAGCTGGCGACTCTGCTGGGGACACTTTTTCAGAGAGTCAGACCCATAACCTTTAATCACATAGACATATTTTTATACCTGTTTAAACTTGTGTTTTACTTGTAGAACTAACGGATATTACAATTTGTTCAGATAATTGTTAATGATTCATATCTCTAGTGTGCGGCACTATTATACTTACACCTTGACGCATAAACACATGCTTTGTTGCATTTTGTCGCATAAATACATGCTCTGTACCCGAGCATTAGATTAAGAGGAACATCCGCCTTGTCGGTGTGGACTTTGGGTCCCACTTATATTGGCACGATGAATCACTCAGATTGTTACCAAGGATCATGGGCCTTGTAACACCCTAAATTTGAGTCTTTAAAATTATAGTATCAGTCCTGGAAGTCTCGCTTGAGCGAGAGATTCTCGCCTGAGCGAGAAAGGATCCCCTGGAAGGGTGAAATTCTGGGCTATACTGGAGGATTCTCGCCTGAGCGAGATTTGTCTCGCCTGGGCGAGAAATGGCAATTTGGGGCTGTTGACACTGTGAGATTCTTGCTTGAGCGAGAATCCCTCGCTTGAGCGAGAGGGTCAGATCTGAAATTTTAAAAAAGCGGGATTTTCTCGCCTGAGCGAGAATGGGCTCGCTTGAGCGAGAACCCGACGACTGCTTTTTAAAGTAGAAACCCAAAACACATTTTTGGGTTAGAACTTCGAAGAGAAGAGAGAAATGAGAGCTTTTCAAGAGCAAGGAGCCTTAGGACTCATCTTGGAGTTTGAGAAGAGGTAAACCTCTTGTTTCTAACTCTTCTTCTTCCTCTCTAACTTGTTTTGGGTATGTTGGATCTATTTTCAAAACATGAGAAACCATGGAAACTCACCCTTTAGAGTTATGGTTCGTTTTATGTTGTTTTTCTCTTGTAAACTCTTGATTTAGAGTTGATATTTTATGAATGGAAATGTTTTGTGGGTTATTCATGAAAACCCCAAAAACCCCAAAAATGAGAATATGGGTATACAGAGAAAGAGATGAAATGTTATATGTGGATGTTGAGTTTGTTCTTTGATGTTGTTATATGAGATGAACATGTATGTTCAGATGTTTGGAAACTTGTATTGAAGTAGTTATGGAAATCTTGAATATATGTGAATCCCTTGTATGTTTGATGATGAAATACGAGTTATTTATGTGTTATTTTGAATAAATGACTGACATTGTTGTTATTGGTGGAAATGAGGAAAGATCCTAAGGTTGGAGGAAATCGCGGAGGAGACTTTTAAAGTTACTCGGAACCGATCCCCAACGCTCACCAAGGTAAGGGATAAGAGCCTCTAATTCATACTCACTGATGTGAATGAAGTATGTGAAAGAGGTAATGTGTTGGTAAGTTTTATTGTTGTTACCCTACTCGAAGAGGTAGTGGTTTATTGTTGTTACCCTACCCGAAGAGGTAGTGGTTTATTGTTGTTACCCTACCCGAAGAGGTAGTGGTTTATTGTTGGTACCCTACCCGAAGTGGTAGTGGACTGTCATTGTGCCCTACCTGGAGTGGTAGTGGACTGTTATGGTGTCCTACCCGAAGTGGTAGTGGACTGTTATTGTGCCCTACCCGGAGTGGTAGTGGACTCTTATTGTGCCCTACCCGTAGTGGTAGTGGACTGTTTTTGTGCCCTACCCGGAGTGGTACTGGATTGTTATTGTGCCCTACCCGGAGTGGTGGTGGACTGTTATTGTGTCCTACCCGGAGTGGTAGTGAACTATTATTGTGTGCTACATAGAGTGGTAGTGAACTGTTATTGTGTCCTACCCGAAGTGGTAGTGAACTGTTATTGTGTCCTACCCGGAGTGGTAGTGAACTATTGTGAACTCGACCTGCCCGATGTGGTATGGGGTAATAACTCGAACTGCCCGATGTGGTATGGGGTAATAACTCGACCTGCCCGATGTGGTATGGGGTAATAACTCGACCTGCCCGATGTGGTATGGGGTAATAACTCGACCTGCCCGATGTGGTATGGGGTAATAACTCGACCTGCCCGATGTGGTATGTGGTAATAACTCGACCTGCCCGATGTGGTATGCGGTAATAAATCGGCCTGCCCGATGTGGTATGGGGTAATAACTCGGCCTGCCCGATGTGGTATGGAAAATGAAATCGATGGATACGATCAAGTGTGAATATGAACGATAAGAAATGTGAATGTCACAATGAATGTTGTATGCATGCTATAGGATATATATTATGGGATATATATTCTATAGGGTGAATATGAATGATGAAAAAAAGGGAACGTCACAAAGAGAGTCATATGCATACTATAGGATATATAGTATGGGATATATATTCTATAGGATAAATATGAGCGATAAAAAGGAAGATGTTGAGGATGAAAGTAATATACATGCTATAGTATATATATTATGGGATATATATACTATAGGGTGGATATGGATAATGAGAAGAATGATGTTTCGAACGAACGTAATATGAATACTATAGAATATATATTATGGGATATATATACTATAGGATGAATATGAGTAAAGTGGAAATTAAAGGAAGATGATATGAATGTTTACAATTACACATGTGTGCCTACGAATTATATTAAAGATTAATCTTTTTTGAAATGTGGATTATCATGTGATGTTAGTTTTTGAACTAATGACTTACTCCCTTTTGTTTTGTGTGTTGTTTATGATAATCCCATTGTAGGTAAATGAAGGAATTGAAAAGGAAGCTCACTTAGGAAGCTTTTGTGTTCATTATCTTGATTGTCCTTATCGTTATTTGTCATTGTAGATGATTTGATAATATCATGGGATGAATGTAAATCTGTTTAGATTAATACGGATATGTGTAGTTATGGACGTTATAACTCTGGGAGACCCATAACTGGCTGTATGTGGTAAATGCTATTTAAATGAATTATGTTTTTCCGCAACATAAATTTGTATGATAATATAATAGGGTAAAGAGTATTTTCAAAGAGTGATACTTGAGAGTTTTTAATTAAGGTGACGACTGTATGCAAGAAAGGATTAAAATAAATGAAAAATTTTCAAGGGTAGAATTTGGGTCGTTACAATATGGTATCAGAGCATAGTTAATTCTGCGGCCTAGGGTATGGCCTTACTTGCTTCTTTGTAACATGTTTATGATTTAACTAGTTGAGATTGTGTGTATTGAATGTTTAAAGCATGTAATTTTGGTAGGATGACATGCAATGTGCTATGAGACTATGTGATAACCTGACTTGTGTGAGTTAAATTGTGTACTGACTACCAATGAGCGTAGGTTAAACATGGCTGGAAGAGGAACGAGTTAGAACGTTCATAATGAATTGTTGGTTCAGATGGTGGCTACACTACAACAATGAACGAGAACTTGCGTAGTCTGAATCAGAACCCCGCACCAAGTCCGAGTTCGCAAAACCTAGTCCCATCCGGACCGATAGAGTACCAAGGTCTGGATGAGTTTTGCAAGAGGAACCCTAGTCAGTTCCACGGAGGGTTTGCTCCGGAAGCTGCCCTCGAGTGGATTCAGGGAATAGAGCGGATCTTGCGGGCCATGAACTGTTCGGAGGCTCAGAAATTGGCCTATGCAACTTACATGCTAGGGACGGAGGCCGAGAACTGGTGGGAGTTCACTAGACTTCAAATGGAGACGAAGGGGCAATTGATTTCTTGGAGTACTTTCAAGGCGAAATTCCTTCACAAATACTTCCCTGGTGATCTGAAAAGGCAGAAAGAAATGGAGTTCTTGAAGTTGGAACAAGGCAATATGTCGGTCGGGGAATATGCGGCTAAATTCGAGGAATTGGACCGGTTTTGTCCCTACTATGAGTTGGAGGTGGACGGACGATCCAAGTGCTCAAAATTCGAATCGGGCCTAAGGTCCAAGCTGAAAAGGATGTTCAAACATCAAGAGATTTCCGACTTTGATACTTTGGTCAAC